GCGCTTCGGGAGGGGACGAATCGGCCTCTGGGGAAAGAGGGAGGAGACGCTTTCGGGAGACATTGTTCGATTATGACCTGTGGCAATAATCGAGCGTGAGATTAGCATATGCTCTTGCCGGGTGATGAAGCCTAGAGCAGCGAGCTCTAGACCAAGGCCTCGTCGACGCATCACAGCCAGCTCCCAAAGCACCAGAACAGACGTCAACGCTTATGATGCCTGACGGAGACTGAGCCCTGGCGCAGGGCATGGGCGCTGGTGGGGATGGGAAGTGGCAAGGGTATGGCGGAGGTTCGAGGGGAGCAAGGCGTACCCATAACACCTCATGCTACGAGCCATCCAAGACAAACGCCGCACACAAGAGTATTCACGAAAGGGACGAAGGCTTGGGTTCGCGAAGAAGTTGGGGCAGTGTCGCCAGAACGATTACAGACGGCGGTCGGGTTGGGTGAGGTGAGGATCGGGGGTGGAGGATTCGAATTATAGGCGGAAGGACGAGCTCGTAACCCTTGATTCCTGAGTTTGCCCAACCATCAGCAAATGTCCGCAACAGTGATCAGGTCCCATGCCCCGCCAAGCAAACAATGTCCAGCAAGCGCAGCAGAAGCAGCTTCGACAAGTCTCGCTTCTCTCGGTCAAGTCAAAGGAGTGCGGCGCAAAAAAGAGCCTCAAGTTTGGGCACAAAGTGCGGGCGGAGCTCGCAGACTCGAGAGGGGAGCGGGCATACCAACTCGGTCCACCAGAAATCGGCTGGGGTTGCTCCGAAGGCGCCTTTGGAGCATGCAAGAGCTCGAGAAGGCAGAGAACGCAGTCGAACAGACAGGGTGATGGCGATGCAAGGGCGGCAGCAAAGCAACAGCAAGCACTCGGAGGATTGCGAAAGAGCCAATGTTGTATAAAACCCCAGCTTTGATTGCTAATGACAACATTTGATAATGTCTGGTGTGTGATTAGGAGACGTAGGTAGGTTAACCAGGGCCATTGCTCGAAACGCATTAGATAAGCAGGCCAGGGCTCCGCTGCGGACGGGGCGCCGGGGGCTGGGGCAAGCGCAGTCACAGCGGACGGGAATGAATGATGTGGTGGTCGGGTGGTGGTTGCGGTGGTGAATAGACGTGGAAGGTCGAGGATGAATCCTGGTCTTGGGGCGCTGTCTGTGGTGCGGGATGAGGGGGAACGCTGCATTGACGCACTGTGTGCTGTGCATTAGGTTAGGTAGGTAATAGGTAGACATGCTGTGCTGCATAGCAATACTCGCAGCAGCTGGACTCGCTTAGGTAGAGCTCGCTACAGACGAGGGACGTTGTGCATAAAAGCAATTGATGTCAAGATTAGACGAGCACTGTCGAAGTGGGAAGAATAACGGACTGTGATGTCGCAGTGACGGGAGCTTCTAGGAGGCGGGGGGCTACATGACTGGATGGACAGGCGGAAATCGAATCGTGGATTGTGCTGTCCGTGTCGTCTTTCTCATTGTTTTTTTTGAGGGTCCTTCGGAAGAAAATCCCTGCCGTGGTGACAGCGGATGGAGACTGGAGGTCACCTACCGACCAGTCATGTTCTGAGTACCGCAATTTAATCCGACACTCTGCCCTGGATGCTGCTTGATTTGTGGGAAATGCACAGTGCCATTCGAAGTCTCAAGTACCTCTCGCCCTACGTCCTAGTCTGCACTTTAGGCAATCGAGCTCCCTGAGTTTTTCCGACAGATGCATAACTGTCAGACTTTACCCACGTTATCCATCCGTTATGCTCTACTTATGCAGCACAACTGCACCAACCAAAGACCCAGCCCCGCAAAGCTGCCTTTTCCCTGTTGCTCGGAGGGCAGCAGCTCCTGCAGGCCAGAGCGAAAGAGGCGGCGCACCCACCGTACCGCACTTTGCAACCCCGAAGCGTGCTGCCAGTCGCCTACCCATTTCCTTCGCCCAGAGAGCCAGAACCAGAACCAGTCTTCCAGGTCTTCCCACTCCGCACTCCGGCCTCTCTTTTCCCGACCTGTCACGACATGATTTTACATTGTCCTCAACTGTTAGACATGCGAACTGTTCAATCCCCGAAAAAGTCTTGCTGGAGTACCCGAGTCCTCCCTTCTCAGTAGCCTGACCTACCTGCGAGTCGCGAACCAAACCATTTCTTCCACTCTCGCTCGATCGACTGCCCTCCCACCCGAACCACCACAACAACCCACCCGCTCTCTGCCCACTCGCTCCTCTCTCTCCTCCTTACCTCGACACCTCAATTCTCTCCTGCGTACCTTGCCTTGGACATTGCGACAACCGCCTCTCATCTGTCAACCTCCTGCCGACCTCCCTCCCTCCCTCCTCCGAATCCCTCCCCCGTTCGTTTCTCCTCCCCTCCGCCTTCCCGCCGCGCTGCCTCAATGGCACCCCCCTCGCCTCGACGATCTTCACGAGCCCGAGGCAATACAGTCTCTCAATCACAACAGTCGTCGACTACGTCGAGTCTCTCTAGCCGCGGCGAGAGGAATACAAGATCTCTCAACAAGACCTCTTCCGCAAAATCCACACCAAGCGCCTCGCTCTCCTCAGAGCCCCCCGAGGACCTCGAGAACGCTCTTCCCTCACGACGTCGGACCCGCGCCCAAGAGGACGCCCGAGACAAGTCTCGTATTGATCCCTACGACATGGCCACCGGAAGCGACGACGTACAGGAGGACGACGAGTCGGTGCGCTGCGTCTGCGGCTTCGATGAATACCCGGGTCCTCCGCCCTTCGAGGAGGACTCCAAGCACGGAAAGCACAACCCGGATGCAGACTTCTTCGCTAGCATCGAGCTGTCAGACGAGGTCTCTGGTTTGTTCGTCCAGTGCGATGTGTGCAAGGTCTGGCAACATGGTGCCTGCGTCGGTATTTTCACCGAAGAGAGCTCTCCCGACGAGTACTTCTGCGAGAAGTGTCGGAATGACCTACACAAGATTCACACTGCAAGCAATGGGTAAGTTTTCCAGATGACCTTCTCACACTTAACAGTGCTCTCTCTGCTGGTGTGATTGACAGTCCTGCGTGGGCCGCGTCACTGGCCTTGAGAGATCCTCTGGCAGCCCACCCATTTCACCCGTCTTGTAGCATACTAATGTCGTACCGTACAGACAACGCTACTCAAATTACCTTCCACTCAACCGTCCATCGCGCGCGACGTCTCGAGCTGCTTCCCTTGTCAAAGACGGCACCCGCTCACCCAAGGAGACGAGCAAAAATGGCCGAGCCTCGTCAGCAACACAAGCTCAGAAGCGAAGATCGACCATGAACAGTCGGGACGCTGCATACGACGAGGATGAACAGTTACGAAGAGCCATCGAGGCCAGCAAAGAAGAGGCTATTCCTGACCAGCCGGAAACGCGCCGACCGAAGCGTGGCCGCAGCGGCAGTGAGGAGTAAGTGCTCAATTGGGTCGTTGTTTGGCATCTCCTAACGGTTTTAGAAATCTCGCAAGTCTGAAGAGGCAACGAACAAGCTCTCCTTCAATGTCGCCGCCCCCCGAAAAAACACAAGCAATTGAAGACGAGTCAGAGGAGGAATCAATCACTCGTAACGGACAGAAGAAGGCTCGCGGCGCCCGCAATCAGCGAGAGAGATCGGAGCGTGAAGAGCGCGACCGTCAACGTGCTGAGGCCGCCAAAAGCAGAAAGGGTCGTGCGGATCGCAGAAGGGCGGAGGGTACTACTACCACTACCACTGCGGGTGTCGTCAAGGAGCCTGAAGCTCATGTGGCCACAGATTCAGATCCGTCGGAAGAAGTCCCTCTGGCGTCCGCAAAACCTATTGTGAAGCCAACAACGGAGCCTCCTGCCCCGGTTGAAGCGCCTCCGTCGTCTGCGCCGACCCCCGATACCCCGCCGGCGAACCCGGCACCCACTGGCAGCACGCACAAGAAGTCGAGTCGCAACAATCAGAAACGTGGCAAGGGCCGAAACCAGTATACGAAGGATCGAGACGAACATGAAGATACGCCTGCGCGTTCGATGTCCAGAGACATTGCGCGGAATCACGACGACCATACTGGCGCTGGAGTCAGCAAACATTCTGGCGCGGACCAGTCTAAGCAGCATGGAGCTAAGCACAAGGCCCACAGCACCCAGAGCAAGGTGTCTATGAACGAGATGAAGCGAAGAGTGACAGCTTTTCTCGACTTCATCTCCAAGACGCAAGTGGAGCTGGCGGGAGAAGCGCTACCAGGGTCACGAAGCAGCCAAAACAGCTCTCAGCAACACAGCCCGCGCGCAACAACCGCGCCAGAAGCACCAAAGATCAGCGTCAACGGCGCTGCAAGCACAGAAGCAAAGGACTCCGCTGTCGCGAACGGGTCGTCCAGCGAAAACGATTCCGAGTCTAAGGAGTTTAAGGCTTTAAACTGTGTGGAAATGATGGACGTTCTAACCCGGGACCTACTTCGTTGGCAAAAGCAGTATGCGCCTTGACGAGTAGCCTCTGGGTTTCTGGCGTTTGTTTCCCTGTTCTCTATATATGCGAGCCATTGCTCGAAAGCGACACCGTGGCTGCGGTTGGTTTCGGCGTATGATACCAGAGATTATCCGACGGTGGCATCCGACGGCAAACATGTTTTTTTTTTTGTTTTTTGTTTTTTTCGTTGATTGGGTTTGTTGCTTCTGGCGTTAAGGTCCCTGGGATGGCGAGAGTGATCGGAGCATAGGATTTTCAAAATGGCCATTATTGCTACGGAATTGAGTGTACGTACTAGTTACGGGTTGTTGATTTTGGTTGTGACTGGTGGGCCTGGGGATGAATGTCCGATAATCAGACAGATGCGAATGTTCGATGGGTATGAGTGACGGCTTCGCGCCGTGTCAGGGTTTACAGGCCTATATCTAGCGACGTGTCGACATGAACTTGGCGCATCTTCTAATGTACACATTACCCTCATTTATACTCGTTTCTTTTTTCCATGTATGATATACAGAGTGCGGGGTATCTCTATAGGTCGTCGTCGTCCTCTTCAAAATTTACTCTCCTTGAATCTTACACGGCTTTGGTTTTGTTGAGTGCTCTGTCCTTCCTGGCCTCCTTCTCCCGCTTGCGCGCCTGGCTCATGCTCACGGGGCCTTGTCCGGCCTTTTCTAACTCCTTCTCCCTGAAAGCCTCGTCGTTGACATCGTCCAAAACGACCTTGCCCAGTTGGCCAACTCTCCATTGCTTGACTATCCAATCTGCCGCACTCTCCGCATTCGCCTCTCCGCCGCTCTTCAACTTGCCCGTCTTGCTCGCTACCCCTTGTAGAAAGTCGTTGACTTCGTTCGTTGGATCGCTGTATTTCGCGTACACACTGGGGTCGGCGAGGTTCATCCGGTAGAGGAGGTAATCTGCAAGAATCACCATGGGGATGCGGTCGTCCTTTACGGACCCGACCAGCGCAAGCTTGACCATGCTCTCGGCCTCGGACACGTACGGCATGAAGACTCCGGGCGTGTCGAGGACAAACACGCCCTCGCCGAGCCCCGCGCCGCCGTCCTTCTCGGAGTCGAGAATGCGCACGGGGGAGGACAGCTTGCGCGTCACGCCGGGCTGCGCGCCGACCCTTGCGACGGACGGCTTCTTCTGCATGCCGTGCTTGCGCAGCTTGTTCAGCAGGGTGCTCTTGCCGACGTTGGGCATGCCGACGACGAGCGCGCGCACGCCCGTCAGGCTGTCGATGCCCTGCGCGACATGGCGGATCTCGCTCAGTAGGGTCTTTGTGCTCGCGCCGTCGTCCTTGCGCCAGAAGACGGCGCGCTGCGGGGTGCCGCCGCCGGCGGTCTGGCCGCGGTGGAAGCGGCGCAGCGCCTGCTCGATCTCGCGGGGGCTGTCGGTGCCGAGGTCGCGGTGGGTGTAGACAACGATGCGCTCGCGGCCGGCGATGGCGCGATCGAGGATCGGGTTCCAGGAGGTGATGGGGACGCGGTAGTCGCGGCACTCGAGGACTAGGCCGACCTCGCTGAGGCGGGAGGAGATGTCGCGGAGGGCGGCGTGGTGGTGGCCGAGGTAGTAGGAGCGGGGGATGGAGTCGGAGACGTCGAAGCGGGTGCGGGGCGAGAAGGCGCCGGTCGCGGCGGCGGCGGCGACGGTGGTGGTGCTCCGGCGAGCGAGGGTCGGGAGCATCTTGGGAGAGGTTTGTCGGTGCGCCGGGGGTTGGGCGCGCTGGCCTGTGATTGAGTGGATCTAGCGCGGGTGAGTAATCATTGTCGTTCTGCGACTCAAATTCATGAGTGGTCCCTTTTCTTTGGTTCGGGAGTGAGTTGGGCGTTGATGGAGCCGTTCGCTTTTCTCTTCCCCTTGAAGCGCAGGGTGGGAAATTTGGTCGCAAATTTCTTTTCAGCCTGAGCGCACCCGTCGCGCAGCCTCATCGAATGCGCCACAATTGATTAGTCGGCGGGGGGTTTTATCTGGTAAAGCTTGGAGGGGCACTGAAGCTGGGCCCCTGCACCCTGCGGCGGTGACGTCAGGGACGCTGTGCCGGATCCGAGAGCTTCGGAGGAACCAGTCTCCACCTGTGCCAAGGCTTGGCCAATGAGGGTTGAGAATCCACGTGGGGGACGGGCGGCGTTCGATTTGTCGCAGAGCGCTTGAATTGAAGCCGTTTTTTTGAGTTTTGTCGCTTGTTGGGCACTGATCAAGGGCCTGCCTTGGACGCCCTGGATGTTTCGAGACTATGGAAAAGTATGCCGCGCAACCGATGAGTGAAAAAGCGGTGTTTCTTGGTTCGTGACTTGCCGCGGGGCGTTTGGGGCTAAAGATAGACGCGTGTTGAGTTCTTCAAAAATACCTTCTTTCTTTCCTCTTTGCCTAATGACTCGACTTGATATGTCGTCACTTGCTTTTGCTGCCGTGCACTGTTGAACTCCTGCTGCTGTTCTTATCTGGGATTGACAGCCTGGAGTTGCGGTGAACACCACCATCATCAGCACACCCAACTTCTCCAAGATGGGTCCCGAAGGTGATCGTCGGGCGTCAGCCACAGCACGGCAGACCAACGACGACGACGCCATCATGCCAGTTCCGGAGTTGCGAGCACAGGCTCCCTCAGAGAGAACAGTTTCTCCCGCGAACCGAGAGCTGTCACCCGAAGTCGCCTCCGTTCGCCAAGAGGAGCGTTCCCCGAGCAGATGGCGAGGATACTTTGCCAAGAGCGGGAAGCTCAGACCGTTCAGACTGCTGAAGGAGGACTCTCTCAACTTCAGACTGCGATACATATCAGACTGGACCGTGTTCAACCAACTCGTGCTGGCCAGTGCGATCTACGTCTTCTTTACTAACATTTTGCCCGGCATCACCTTTGCCAGCGACTTGTACGTTCTGACTGGAGAGTCGTGGGGGACGATTGAGGTTGTGTTTAGCACGGGGCTCTGTGGGATCATCTTTGCTCTGTAAGTTGGCGGGAAATCTTGTGACTGTTGTGATACTAATACGTCCTCAGGTTCTCGGCCCAGCCGTTGACTATCCTCGGTGTCACTGGTCCATTTTCGGTTCTGGCAGAGAATATCTACTCGCTATGCGAGAACTCTTTCAAGGTAGCGTCCACTCCTCGACGCGGACATTTTATCCCGTCGTTCCCATTCCAAGTTTATGGCTGTGACTGACATTCCCAGATCCCCTTCCTGCCCTTCATGGCCTGGTCCCTCATCCACTCCGGCTGGATGCACTACCTTCTCGCCATCTTCAACGCCCACGACTACACCATGCAGTACGTCACCGACTTCAGCGCCGACATCTTCTCCCTCCTCAACAGCGTAATTTACTTCCATAAGGCCGTCCGCGAGCTCGAGCGCACCAAAGCCGCGGTCTCGCTCGCGGCCTTTCTCTACTCCATCATCGGCGCAGTGGGCACCTGTCTCCTCGCCATCTTCCTCTCGACGGCGCCGTCGTGGAAGCCGCTGTTCCACAGGTACGTCCGCATGGGCCTCGCGGAGTACGCCGCCGCCATCTCCATCGTCTTCTTCATCGGCATGCCCTACGTCGGCGACCTGGCGCACCTCGACCACAACAGGCTGGAGGTCTCCAAGACGTTCAGGCCGTCGTCGCCGAGCCGGGACGTCTTCTTTGTCGAGTTCTGGAAGCTCCCCATCGGCTGGATCTTCATCGCCATCATCCCGGGCATCATCATCACGGTGCTGTTCTACTTTGACCACGAGATCAGCAGCATCATCTGCACGGCGAAGAGGTACGGCATCCAGAAGCCTGGGGGCTATGCGTGGGATATAATGCTTCTGGGCACGACGACGATCATGTGCGGTATTCTCGGGATCCCGCCAGCGAACGGACTCCTTCCTCAAGCACCGCTACACTCTGAATCTCTCATGCACACCGTCGTCGAAGATCCTCCCGCCCCGAACTCTGAGCCCGGCGAAGACCCCCCATTGAAACCCTTGATACGGGTATATGAACAGAGATACTCGCCCTTCATCCAAGCGGCAGGAATCTTACTCTTCGTCTCACCGCCCTTTCAACACGTCCTGGGCTTCACGCCTACCTCTGTCCTCGCAGGACTGTTTATGTTCATGGGCTACCAGTCGCTATCCGTCAACCCGATCCTCAACAGAATCTGGCACCTCCTCACGCCCATAGCGGAACTTCCAGCTTTGCCCCAGGGCGCGTCCTGGCTGGGCATTCACATGTACACCATCTCGCAAATCATCCTCACCGGCATCGTTTTTGGAGTCACATTGACCGTGGCGGCCCCGGGCTTCCCTATCATCATCATCATTCTGGTCCCAGTCAGGCTGTTCCTGATGAATAAAGTGTGGAATCGGGAGACGTTGAGGTACATCGACGGGTGGGCGACAAGAGAGGGAAAGCCTGAAGACAACGAAAACGACCGGAGGCGGGAGGCGGTCATCGCCTCGCGCGAGTCAGCCAGACGAGTGTCCGACGAGGAGAAGGGGACGAAATCTGCGTGAAATAACTGCAAAGATACAGCTAGACTGCAAACCAAAAGCCGGCAATAGAAACCACTCCATTCAATTGCAGAAGTTCATCACAAATGTCACCTCGCTGCATGACGAACCCCCGGTCCCTGTCCTGCGAGATCTATCCATCTGCGGGGTTCCGTCCCGCTGTCAACCACGTCCGGACCCATTTACCCCCCGCCCCGAGGTCGAAGGGCACCCTTTTTCAGATCAATGTCCGTGATGCATCGGGTGAAGATACCCGCAGCGGCGGCTACCGCGATCAACCTACAATCCGCCTTCGCAGCCTTACCTTGTGAGACACATTGCGCCATGGCGTATTTCAGGGCCGAGATGCCCGATGGGCGTCGGGGCGTTGTCTCGTCTCACCTGGGCTTGTTGAACTCCTCATCGCACTCGGTTTATCTGTAATTAAGATGTCGCTATCCGTAGCAGGGAAGTATGCAGTCATCACCGGTGCAGGGTCAGGTAAGTCGTCAACTCGATCTCACAAGACCAGAAAAGAAAAAAGCTCACGCATCACCAAGGTATCAACCTGGCCTTTGCCAAACTCCTCCTCGAGCGCGGCTGCTCCGTTCTCATAGGCGGCCTCGCCCTCCGCCCCGAAGCATCCTCCCTCGTCTCCCAGTACTCCCCCCAATCCTCATCAGACAGCAGCCGTCCGACAGCCCACTTCCAGCAAACAAACGTCGCCTCCTGGCCGCAGCTCTCCCGCCTCTGGGACACGGCGCTCGCCACCTTCCCGCGCGTCGATATCGTCGTGCCCGGGGCGGGCATCTTCGAGCCGGCGTGGAGCTCCTTCTGGCACGCGCCCAAGACGGCGTCGAACCCGGACACTAAATCGCGCGACGCCGCGGAGGCGGAGCCGGGCACGTACGCGGTCATCGACGTCAACCTGACGCACCCGATCCGGCTGAGCCAGCTGGCCATCGGGCACTGGACGCAGACGCACCGGCCCGGGTGTCTGGTGCACGTGAGCAGCATCGCGGGGCACGCGTTCGGGTTCGGGACGCCGTTGTATTTTGCGAGCAAGCATGGCTTGCACGCTTTTGTGAGAAGTCTAGGGGAGATGAGGGATCGGGTTGGGATCAGGTGCAGCGCTGTCGCGCCGGGGGCTGTCATGGTATGATTGTTTGGTTTTTGCCGTTCTTTTCTGAGATTGCTAACGTCATGCAGACGCCAATGTGGCGAGAGGACCCCGACAAGAAGCACATGGCTGAGGAGGAGGATGCGAAGCTGTTCACCGAGCCCGAGGAGATTGCGCGGGGCATGCTTGAGCTTTGCGAGAACCCCGAGTACGGGAATGGAACCATCCTGGAGGTTGTCAAGGGGAGGAAGAGGGTTGTGCCGTTTTACCACGCCGAACCGCCACAGGGTGACGGAGTCTTCATACCAAAGTACAAGGAGGGCGCGGAGAAGCTTTGGGACGGGTTGGAAAGCGGCGGTTTGAAGGTCTGATGGATGGTATGAAGTGAGATTGCGGGGCCGAGTCCGAAGAACGAATAGTGTACAGAGACTGCCTCCATGCCCTGTACCACAGCGAATGGTTCTTTTGAGCTTGTTCAAACTCTGGTATAAACATCGTCATTACAATCATTGTCATGGTCGTTGTCGTCGTCCTTGTCGTCGTCATTGCCATCGCCACTATTGTTCTTATCATCGTTGCTTCTACCTACCTACTATCGTCTTTAGTCGTATTATAATATTATGCTCATCATTGCGTAGGTAGAAGAGATAGCCGCACATAGCAGCTCTCGATCCGCACAACATTTAACCATCGCCTTTTCTGGAAGATTGAAATTACAAAACCTATCTTGAAGACAATGCTTAGCTTTTCAACGCTGCCAGCACCTGAACCTTTGGCTTATACTGCCATCTCCATAGCCCCTAAATGCATCAAGCTAACCCATTGACATTTCTCCAAAACAATGACAATTGTTGAGGAGAGTGATGTATAGAAAAACGACTTGATCAACAAAGAGATAAGCAGAACACGTTGTTCAGGATTCGTCTTGCTTAAGATCCAGCCCCCAACCCGTCTTGGCGAAGGATCCGGTTTGCTGACCAAAAACAAAAACCAATGCGAACCACACCTTCGTGGTTCGAGCTTCTTGTTTCCTATTCGGGTAAGTGCGAAGCTCAGCAGCGGCAGGTAAGGCGAACGAACCACACCGACAGCTGCGGCCCGACGGACTGAGACATCACCCCCCAACGCCACGCCAAATGGTGACTCTGCATTTCAGCCCTCGCTTAGAGACGGTACGTAATCCACGGCGGCGTCCCCCTCACCCAGTTGTTAAAGCTTCTCGTGGTTGTAGCTCCAAGACATGCCTTGTGAAAACAGTGTCTTGTGTATATGATGGCGTCTCTTGAAGATCTAAATCACTCGCCAGATGTACAAGACCTGCCAAGACGCCCGCATCTCGAGCTCTTCAACACGGATCCGACGGCATGCGGCGATGCCTCTTTTCATCTCTTTCCTCAGCTTCCCACCGAGCTCCGGCTGCTCATATGGCGCCATGCTCTGCAACGAAGCCGCCTGCTGAACGTCACGATTGAAGAGGCAGAAAGCAAAACTGCGGGCGAAACTCCAAGATACTCCCTTGTCAACTCCTTGGGCCGCCCCATAACGGGAGACCACTACTGCATCACAGTCCAAGCCCGGTGCCGTCTCCTCCCGGAACTCATGTCTGTATCCCGCGAATCTCGAGAGGCCGCCAGAGCATTCTACCCCGTCAGCCTCCCCTGCCACCTCAAATCCGCCGCCGGAACCCAAAAGACGGCCCTCCTCCTCAACCTCTCCTACGACTACCTCCAAATATCGTCCGGACCCTCTTGGAAAGCCACCATCGACTTCCTCCACGACCTTCGCGCCCACGACCCCTCAGGCACCGGCCTCCAGCACCTCGTCCTCGACGACGCCGACTCCGACCCCACACCGCTCAAACCAACCGACATCGACACCACCGCCCTCGCCGCATTCCGCGCCACCGTCAAAGGCCTCAAGAGCATCTGGTTCCGAAACGTCACCCCGGCCGGCCGCGGCCTCGACGTGCTGACCTTCCGAACCGCCCACGTCTTCAACTACGGCTACCCCGTCGTTCCCTCCTTCACCTTCTTCGACGCGCCCCGCCGGGACCCGCGCAACATCTCGCGGGACCTGGAGAAGGTGTGGGCCGGGATTCATGACCCGCGCGGGAAGCCGCTGGCCTGGCGCCGGCTCCTCCGCGGCCTTGGCATCGACCCCGAGCGTGATCTCGACCCGGCGGCCGACGTGCGCGTCATGGTCGGCGCGCACAGGGAGGATACATTGCGCAGCCGTGAGGAGGCAAGGCGGTGTCTTCATGAGGAGGACTTTGAGTGGTTGAGGCTGCAGTGGTGGTTTCACGGGTGGGCGGACGGGCCGGATTGGGGCCGCGGATGCCCGCCGGCGGGATGCTTTGGGACTCCGTCAGGGCTCATGGCGTGCCTGCCTCGCTTTGACGGTCCGGAGGTGCTGGCTGCGGCGCCGAGGCCGGCGTTGGGGTTTTGGCTGTTTCCTGTGGATGCGTTTGGAGAGTTGAGGGAGGATGAGGATCCGGACGGGTGGCTGAAGATTAAGGGGCTATTTGACCTGAAGGGTTCCTGGCCTGATCTTGCGCTGGCACATATATCATGATGTTTAGGATTTCTCCGTCATTCCTGCGTGTGGTATATGCGCGAAGACCAGAGCTGCGGTGGAATATTAGAAAAGGGTGATAGCTTGTCACCGGTTCGAATTGTATCTAGTAGTTCTTGACTTTGGTGATCGACACTTGCCAAGCCAAAGGGCCGTGACTTCAGTTCAGACGACAATGCCAGGCTTGGCTGGACAACCTCTAGAGCAATCATCCCAAGCTATGAATGAGATTCTCCAAAGTCCAAGACTTCATCTAAAGAAAGCATAGTAAACGCTCCAATCTCAAATGCCAAGCCGTCTTCTTTGCGCCGAGGTGTTCGCACCGCTGTAGCTGTCATGTAATCAGGACCCAAGGCTCTCAAACACACATTGGCATCGTCGACCTTGGCTCCCTTGAAGATAATGTCGTGCTCCGTGACGGCGTCTCCATCTTCCTCAAACTTCTCCGCCAGCTGTGGCGGCTTGAAGTTCTTGAACTGGAGGTCGCCGAGCCACTCTGCAAGCAGCGCCTCGCCCGTCATCTTGACGTACGCCTCCCTCAGACACCAAAGAGCGTAGAAGCACCGCAGTTTGAAATCCATCGAGTCCTCTGCTGAGGCCCCCGGTTTCAACCCCGGCGGGATCGCCGAGAGAACCTGCCACTTAAGGAAGCTCGCCTCAGCAGGCGAGAGCACATCGGCGTGCACGTCCACGAAGCGCGGCCACCCCTCGCTCCTGAGCATGCTGTGGTCTCTGGAGCGACGCTCCGAGGTGCAGACAATGTCAACGCCCACGTCTACCGGTCCATTGACCGCGTCATAACCGTGGACGGAGAAAAGCGCAACCAGACCGGCTTGGTGGCTTACGTTGAAGCTCAGGGGTTCGGAGCCGTCGGCGGTGCGGAAGACGGGCTTTGTCTTCTCATTGCGGACAGTGTTTGCCGAAGGCCAGGGGACGCCGCAGAAACGACTGATGGCGTAGCGTTTCAGAAGGTGCGAGCCTAGAGACAGCTTCGCGTCGCGAACGTGGTAGTACTTTAGCACAGCTTTGCGCTCGTCGGCGCTGAGGAGGGCGAGAGCCCGGGATGCCTGAGTCGTTTTGTCAGTTTCGTGGTGTTTTCAGGGTTTGCTTCTGCTCTTCCAGGGTTGAAGTGAGGCGAATGGGATATTGCGCCGACTTGCTGGGCGACTATTGGGGTAAAGATCTCGCCTCGGGCGGTTTGATTTGCATGGAGAAGGACGAAACAGACATGGGTGTGTGTGGGTGGTTCACGGGCGGTTCGGTTCGGTGAGGGAGGGTGAGGTTTCTTACTGCTTGTTCGAGGTGCTTCGTTTCAGTGGCCTCTGGATACAGGTGCCGAGTATCCAGGATCCACTGTGTGATAGTCGGGGCCATCTCGATCGGTATTGCTTTCGGTCGTTTCCAACCACGTTTCTCGCACTCGCAGGCTGGGGTTTTGCGATATGTCGTTTTTGCTCTATGTACAATGAGTCCCGCGGCCGAGAGATCTCGAGTGAAGCTCCAGTGGCTGCAGTTCCAGAAACCAAGCCGTCCCAGTCTGGGTCAGACAACCCGACTCAAGATTTACCTCAAACCAGCTGCCGCCGTCACAAGAGGGGACGAAAGGTGCCTGCCAAGCAATTCGATTAAGGTTAAGGATTGCCTACAGTTATCGCCCCGCAGGACAGGTGAGAAGAGACGTGAAAGAGACGAGTGGTGCAGCTGCAGCGGTGGCCGAGAGGAGCGTAGAGCCGTTTGGCGACTTGACACAAGAAACAAGCAATTGGACGATGGAGCTCGGAGGGGCTGAAGCGAGAAGGCGAAGAATGCTTGGTCACTGGTGCAGAAACCCCGGGCAGGCCGACAACAGTGATGGATCGATGATTTGCAATCTCAGGTTTCAGACATCAGGCCATCGGGACCTTGGGAGTTGCGAGTCGCTCCTGGTTTCATGGGGTTTGGTTGGGTGGGTGGAAAAGAAGCTGGAAGGGATGAGACGAGAGACTGAGGTGAGAGTGGAAGAGTAAGGTGTCGTTGCGCGTGGGTAGAGGAGGGGCACGTTGAGACGTTTCCACCCCTTCCCTCAGGTTCCCGGTCCTCCAGGCGCCCCAAAGTTCCCAACTGAGGTCCAGTGCCACCCAACCTCCAGTTGTGCTGCCGGAACAGGGCGGACCAACGCCCGCTAGCGCCCATTCTTCCAGGTGGGGTGTCACTGGTTCCAGAGGCTCACGACCGCAGATCATACCAGTTGGCGGCTTGGCCCTGTCTTTGCCGCCCCAAACCTTTTCTCGACTTCAACTCCACCTGCGTCTGACATGCCACTCTGAATCCTGTATAAAGCTTCATCAACCGTCCCTCGTTTAGGTCTTGATTTTCTACTCCTCTCCAGCGCAATTCTACTCTCTCTTTCTAGAATTCGCCATGCAGTCGAGTCCACCAGCCAAACACAAAGATTCCTGCATTTCCACTACCTCAATTGGCCTCCCCCGTTCCGCCGCCATGTCCGCTACGATCACTACATAACAGACAACCACCACCATGCGCGGCGGCGAGCAGGCCAGGAGTGCCACTCTCTGTTCCACCTGATGTTCCTTCCCACGGAAGAGTAGAGCTGAAGGTGTTGAGCAGAGAAACCTTTTTTTTTGTTGGATTTTCATGTCTGGAGGTCGGGGCGCGCCAGCCGGAAGACAGTCGAGGATCACCATTTTACAACAACTTTTACACCGCTGGAGGGATCCGCAGTCACCTGAAGCGTCGATGATCCGTCCGCAGCTGCCACGCGCCGCCCTCGCAAGGGACGGCGCGGAAGGCGCCGGATGACGAGAATTCGCTGGTAGGCCTGCGTGAGCCTGGAAGTGATGACGACTCTCCCCTTGATCCTTGGACCCGCCCGCCTCGCCTGGATCGGACTCTTCGTGAGTTAGAGGAAGGATTGAGAAGGCGGGACTTTGTCCTGACTCGCCCAACCCCGGATTCTTCGTGAGTTAGGGGTTGTGGTTTGAGAGGGATGGGGATCGAGGGGGCTGAGGCGTATTTCTTACTTTTCTTCTTTTTTTCTTCAAATCAGCCCATCATAACGCCGAGAGTTGGGCAGCCCTATGAAGCGCAGGGGATGGGTTCGTGCACTTGTGTGGATCCGAAACTGCGTGGAGGGTCCCTTGCAGAGTCTGGACCTTTACGTGGTGCGGGGGATTACGACGCTCGGAAGCATCAACCAACCAGACTATGTTGAATGGAAAGGGGAGGAAAGGACTTTGGAAATTATTGAGAGAATCGGTGAAGTCTTTGGGAGGGAAGGGAATAGGCCGAGGTGGTGGACGGGGCAAGCTATGACTTGTGCAACTGTCTGCAGTACTCCGTAATCATACAATAATTTCCTCTCATCTTGATCGGTTCAAATATTGGGTTGATTCTCAAACTTGCAATTCACTTAGTGCTCGCAAAAGAAGAGGGCAGGAAGTGGCGTAATGGTCGAGACGCTGACAACGTGTCTTTTGTGGTTTTGACTGGTTTCCAGGCAAGCTGGTCCTCTCGTACACGCCAACCCTAAATCAGCGCTTTTTCCCGTGCATGCAATATGACTGTATAACTTTTGCCGAGTGTGCAGCTGTTTGTCTTTACACTTGGCGTCTTTGTACGTGTCTATTGGCCCTTTTAGATAAAATGGACCCTGTGGCTATTGAACGGCAACCATCTCGACAATTCGGCTCCCTGTGTAACCCAGTAGACCAACATCTCGGTAGTCGTTGCTCATTCAAGCGTGATGCCCAAAGAGCTGATACTTGCGTGCCAAGCCACTATGCCCACCGCTTCGCCGCTTCTCCAACCCGGGATATACGCGGGCGTGACGGGCATTCCCTAACACACCAAAGGTTGAGTCGAGATGTTGCAGCGCATATTCCCAGGACAAAATCGTACACTGGCTGCGAGACCATTCTGCAAAAAAACTCCATGACGCCGACCGATGCCTCGCTCTTCAGGTCATACACATAGTCTGTACAGTGTCTCGTGATATCCACCTCTTCAAGCTTTCTTCACAGTATTCTGTTGGATCACTTCTTTTGCGCCTCAGCCTGCTCGGCCCGGTACTTCTCGTTCTCCACCTCCCTCCAGTCCTTGGGCATGGGCTCGTTGCCGTCCGTCTCGCCCCTGCCACCAGCGAAGGCCGGCCGTCCGGCGTACAACTGGTAGCCCTTGCCCGACTCGGCGTCGTTCATGGTCTTGTAGTTGACGGGCATGTTGCCGCGGAAGCGCTTGCGCATGTCGACCATGCCGCGCTTGCACTCGCCAAAGCCCTTCTTGAGCTGCTGGCACTTTGTAGGGAGGGTGTTGACGAGGGGTTCGCGGAGGCAGTCGGAGGCGCTGTTCTGGTGGACCATGACGCAGTCGGATTCCTGGAGGCATTGCGCGAGAGCCGCGCCTGTGGGCATTTAGTCAGTTGAGTGTCCATGCGAGCGGTTCTGGTGAGGGGAGTTGGGACGCACGCAATTCTTTGCAGGAGCTGGGCATGGTGACGGCGGTCTGGAGGTATTTCCCTTGGTGGACAGGCAGGCGGTGGTAGGTGGATCGACGTGAAGCCTCAGCGTACAGTACCGACTCTAAGGTTTGCGAAGCATCAAACAATTAGAGAGAAAAAAACGGTCACTGTGATTGGATGAGATGGGACCCACTCGGATGCAGCGGTTCCAGCGTCCTTTCACAGTGCTCTCGAGTCTGCAAGGTCCAGTGCGAGCACAGAGACAACTCCCAACGTGAGGAGAGGCCGCTAAGGTTGGCTTAGTGCCATGTCTCTGCAGTCCTTCAGGTCCTCAGGTTCCCGCTTTTCAGGGATCCAGGCCCGTGGACCAACCGCGTCGCTCGCGCGGGCACCCCCTTCCCCACCTCATGCCCCTTCCAATTGAGGCACCCTTGCCCCGAAGCGGCGGTTGGTGCTGCGTTGGCACGTTGTAACAGCGCAACAGGACCCGGGGCCAGTGACCACTGACCTCTCGAACCTCTGACCTTGAATCTGGGACTGGGAGCTTGACCTTTTCCCTTTCGAGAGCTCTCCCTCTGATGCATCTTCACATGTGACATCACTTCGCGCCCGTCCACTTCCACTTTCGTACGCTGACACACGACACACAGCAGCTTCGAGCACATCTTTTTCCCTCACGAGCCCAGTTGATCGCCAACCGCAAAGCTACAACCAGCCGCCCACAGCCCTCCTCTCTTGTCTCCGACCTTAAGTTAAGCTTTGCGCCCCTTTGGAGACTAGAGTGATGATGCCTTGAGAGCTTCCCCTAGCTGCTCGTTTCTTTGCTTTTCTTTCCCACCAAAAAAACCTTAGACATATCGTTCCTGGCCTGCGCCGCCAGCCTCTTATCGCATATTACACCGCATTCTCTGTTCCACACGATGCCTATCCCTTTCATCGGCCGGCTAAACATGTAAGGGTGCCCAATTGCCCTGATCCATCCTCTCCCTCCCTTCCTGAAATCCCGCCCCTCAAACTGCAACGCTTTGAACCCTTGCGATGTTGCAGTCAGTGCGATCCAGACTGGTGCTGATGGAGTCGCGCAGCGTCGAGTATGTGGCTTTGGTGGGGTCTTTTCTGCTGGTAGGACTCGAGGCTATCATCCGCGTCCTGACCTTGGCTCTACGTATGGCAAAATGCGCTTCCCCTCGTGGCGTCCAGAGCTAGCTAGCTAACCCAGGAGCTCCTCCCAGCCTCGCCGCTCATCTCGCTCTTCTATGTGGCTTCCCGTCGACTGTTTAACCGATTCTCGACGCCGGCGCATAAACGCGCAGAACAGCGCAAGAAGTGTTGGTTCATCCCCCGCCACGGCTGACGTTTTCCTGTGGTTTCGAACTGCGCTGACTCGCGTGGTGCGCAGCCATCTCGACCAATGTGAGGGACGCCTCCGACTTTGTTGATCTCTGCCGGTTATACGGGTACGAGGCCGAGGAGCACGTCACGCAGACCAAGGATGGCTTCCTGTTGGGTCTCCACCGCCTGGCTTGGAGGAAGGGCGAGGAGGGCCAAAGGATCAACTGCGGCCCAGGCAGCGTGCAGAAGAAAGTCGTATATCTGCATCACGGGCTTCTCATGAACTCGGAGGTCTGGGTCTGCTTGACCGACGAGCAGAGATGTCTTCCGTTCGTGCTTGTCGAGAAGGGCTACGATGTTTGGGTACACTTACCAACCCATGTTGATTTGGCGTAATACTGACGTTGACACAGCTCGGCAACAACCGCGGTAACAAGTACTCAAAGAAGTCGGTTTCTCACTCGCCAAAGTCTCTCGAGTTCTGGAATTTCTCCATTGACGAGTTCGCCTTCCATGACATTCCCGACAGCATCGCTTACATCCTCGAGGCCACCGGCCAGGAGAGTCTGTCATACATTGGCTTCTCCCAGGGAACCGCTCAGGCTTTTGCTACCTTGGCCATCCACCCCAAGCTGAACCAGCAGGTCAACGTTTTCATCGCCTTGGCGCCAGCAATGTCTCCTGCCGGTCTTTCCAACGGTATCGTAGACGCACTAGTCAAGGCGTCGCCGCAAGTTCTGTTCCTCCTCTTCGGTCGTCGATCGATTCTCAGCTCCGCCACCATGTGGCAGTCCATTCTTTACCCGCCGATTTTCGTTCGAGTAATCGACGTCGGTCTTTCCTTTTTGTTCAACTGGCAGACGAAGAACATTTCTCTCAGCCAGAAACTCGCGGCTTACCCCCATCTATACTCGTTCACCAGCACAAAGAGTGTGGTCCACTGGTTCCAGATCATCCGCAACAAGTCCTTCCAGATGTACGACGACGACGTCCACCCTCCCGTGTCCATCAGCTCGTCCAGCAAGTATACCAAGGTCGCCAAGTACCCGACTCGCAACATCAAGACCCCTATTGTGCTTGTCTACGGCGGCAGCGACTCCCTCGTCGACATCAAGGTCATGCTCAAAGAACTTCCGAGTCAGACTGTAGCCACCGAGATCCCCCACTACGAGCACCTCGACTTCCTTTGGGGCCGCGACGTCGATGCCCAAGTCTTCCCGCACGTTTTTGATGCCCTCGACAGCTTCACCGACGCACTTCACTCCAAGGAGGAATACGCCCGCTACCAGCTCGCAAGACAGGAGAGCCTCCTCGGCTCCGGCAACGCGTACCGCCACGCCCATAAAGACAGCGACGTCTCCGCCAGCGACACGTCGAACGCGGTGGATGAAATCCAGCCCAGAAACGGTACGGACAGCCCGCTTTCATACAAGTCTCGAGACCGACCGTCCGGGATCCCCTCGCCTTTCGGGACGACCCGCACGAATAGCAATATGAGAACTCCGTATTCGCAGGTCGCCGCTAACGACGACGATGTACCTTCTTCACCAGACAGACCTGACAGCCGCGCTACGAACCCCGACGACAAGGAGGACGGCAGCTTACTGAAGCCCACCCGCGAGTCACCGACGGCGAAGCTCAAGGGCATCGGCGTGAGGAGGGGCAGCGGAGGCAGCAGCCTGAGCTTGGATAGCATGCGCGAGGGCAAGGGGATCAGTCTGGGCACGAGCAAGGCCCTCGGGGGCGTCGTGACGAAGAGCGGGATCGATGCCAAGGGGCTGGGTAATGCGGGTGTGGAGGAGGTCAAGGGCGGGAAGAAGAAAAAGCGTGTCACCGTGGCGCCGTAGTATTGAGGTGCCTAGTTAAAGAAAAGGCGGAGACAAAATTGGAATACAGTACACTCTGGAATAAAAGTTTATTTACCACTGACACTGAGCTAGCGAGCAAGAGGATATTGACGATTAGCCGGTGAGAGACAGCGTCCGTCATTCGAGGCACGCCTCCACTGGCGCTGATGAGGAACAACGCCTCACTCGTGGTTGCGACATGAATTGGAGCGTATTTTCTATATTGCACTTTGGTGCAGCTATTTTCTCGTTCACCGGGTTCGACATGTGCATGCGCAGCATCCCTCGTGGCTTCTCTTCAATGTTCCTTGCTCATCAGCTGTGCTGGGTATATGAGGCGGTAGGTAGTCTTGAGGAGTTTGGACCGACTTCGAGATGCTTGATTACCATGAAATCAACTGCCTTCGTGGACAAGGGCAAGGCGAGAGATCATACTGGTCGACAAGACGTCTGTCCATTCATGCTATAAATATACAAGAGACCGCCTATTTTTCCTGTGTCTGGACGGCTACATTTCCTGTGTAATTCATTGAAGATGTTGCGAACGACGACAATGTTAACAATGATGGCGACAGTGACAACGACGACGATAGTTGAAGGACCAGAAGAGCCGGCCCCCAAGTCTCAATTGCATGCTTGATATCGAAGAGACACATCAAAATCAACCGGTGGTATGAGTGTGTTGTCGTTGAGTAAGTCAAGAACGAATTTAAACAGATAGACTCGGAGAGGGCGACTTTTCTGAGTCCTATCCAGCTGGTTACATTTTCTTTTGGTTTGGGGATGTCATACTATTGTCAACTTCATGAGAGCTTCGCTTTGACGACATACGCTCATCCGCACCGAGTTGTAGTCGATGCTCGACAGACTGACGAAGGAGCGTTTCCAGAGACATACCCTCCCCTCCATGTAATAACAGGACTGTGCTACTATGCTGAATGGCATCATTCCCGGCGACTAGTCTTCTTACCACTCCAAGGACGTACCACAAGCTTATAAGTGGATTTCTCGGCCCGGTCTGGTGCAGTCTGTATTGATGTCGGCGTTTTTCCGTACACTGCCGATCTCCTCCGCGTGGTGGTGACTGCCCTGCTGGATATGCCGTGAGCCAAGACGATGCACGGATCTGCAGCCTCACGGAGTATTATTCACACAGTCCCCTCATAGACTCACGAGGCGCTTAAGACGACCAATACGGAGCATCGACAGCGTAACGATCCTCAAAATAAGCTCGGGTGTGGGGGAGAGTGGTTCGTCTCATCATCCTTGCCATGAAGTACCGGCACATACTTCAAACTCTATCCCCTTAACCTTGGATGGCAGCAACACCCAATATGACTTTCCCATCGCAATGAACCGCATGCATTTGATAAGAATCCCATGGAGATTACGATTCATGTGATCGCAAGACACGGCAGCCATCGTTATATCTGATATCACCACATCCCGATCTTGATGATGTGAATGATCAACGAAAACCAGATCGTTCGCTGAATTGGAACTTCAACACCAATTGAGGCGATCTTTCGACGGCGATACATGCAGCCAGCCAATCGTGCGGTAGCCTCCGAGCCACTGGATCACGAAATTGCCAAATATACTTTGCTAGTATCTTGAATAACCGTAGAGGTACGACTTCCCTGATCGAGAACCTGACCCCTGGAAGGGCACCTCTTGCTATACGCAGCACATAAAAGTCCGTTTCTCCATTTCCAGAGTACCCCTTCCCCCATAAAGATTATGCTTCTTGTCGCTGGTGAACTCTCCCGTCCTAACGTTGTTGATGATCTCTCATCAGCATCAAGAGGTTAAACTGAACTCCGTCCAACACCCCTCCTCCGTCCAGTGCCAAGTCTCATCTTCACAGTCGTCTCAGCTCCCCGTTGCTTCTCTGCCGTCACCAAAGATCGCCAGCCAAGCCGGCAAACACGACAGCCAGCCCCAATATCAAGATGGAGCACTTTACTTTCAACGGTGCGCTCTCGGGACCCTTAACCATACTTGGACCAAACAGCTGATTCTCGCGTAATCCAGACTACATCAACATGTACGTATGTTATTACAACCCGAAACTCCGCATGTGCCTGGACGTACCCTCGTATTACATGTACAAGCTCGACCTCGCGGCCAACGTCGCCTTCACCGGCATCTTCGGCCTCTACTTCGTCGCCTACGCGGCGATATGGGCCGCCACCCGGCGCGGCCACATCTTCAACATCGCCTTCCTGTGCGGCCTCACGGCCGAGATCCTGGGCTACGCGGCGCGCATCGTCAGCTTCAGTAACCAGTGGCGCACCTGGCCGTTCATGACGCAGATCTGCGCCCTGACCGTCGGCCCGGCGTTCCTCGCCGCCGGCATCTACGTCTGCCTCCGCCGCATCGTCCGCGTCTTCGGCGTCTCCCACTCCCGCATCCGCCCCCAGCTCTACACCCGCATCTTCATCCCCTGCGACATGGTCGCCCTCGTCCTCCAGGCCGTCGGCGGCGGCTTCGCCGCCTACGCCACCTACCACGCAACGTCCACCCAGAAGGGCGACAACATCATGATGGCCGGCCTCATCTCCCAGGTCATCACCATGGCCATCTTCATGCTCGTCTCGACCGACTTTGCCATCCGCGCCTGGCGCAGCAACAGCAGCGGTGACAGCTCGCCCCTGGCCTCCTCGCCAGAGGAAGACGCCGAGGCCGTGAAGCTGGGCCACCTGCGTTCGTCGTGGAAGTTCCGCGGTTTCCTGGTCGCCCTGGCGCTGGCGACCATTTGCATCTTCTGGCGCTGCGTATTCCGCGTCGCCGAGCTGAGCGGCGGCTGGACCGGCCCGTTGATGCACCGCCAGGACCTCTTCATCGGGTTCGAGAGCGTCATGATCGTCGTCGCCGTCGGCGGGCTCATCATCTTCCACCCCGGGTTCTGCGACATGGAGCTGCTGGACGACAAGCCTGCGCCGCCCAAGACTGAGCCCGTCCTCGGGGGAGGGTATTCTAGCGATTTGCACAGCAGGCTCGAGGTCGTGCAGGTCAAAGCCTGATGGATGCGAGAGATAGAAACGTTGCATTCTGCTTTAGTTTCCATATGTAGCGGTGGATGTTTGACAACGTCGTTGGATTCTCTTCTCCTCTTTTTTATTTTTTCCCTCTTCTTTCTTTCATCCCTTCCCTTTTTTTTACTTTTTCTTTTTTTCCTTCCCCTTTTGGGGCCATTCTAGGCCTCAAAGGTTTTCGTTAGTCATACGGCAGTCAAAAAGGTGTGCCCGCAGGCGGTAACCTGCTATACGAAAGTACGAAAAACATCAAAAGGGAAGAAGGAATGTGGTTGATTTTCTGCGTGATAGAAGTTGTTAGCAATCCGGAGTTTTGGAGCACATCAATCAAATCTTTCTTTGTAGTGAGATGGGTGACCTTAATACAAACCCGATATGATAACATGCAGCACACTTTGATATTACCCGGCACATGCTTTCATAGGAGACATCATTGAATTGTCTACGGACGACCCCTGAAGGGCTAACAGCTCTTTCGATGGCAGCCCCATTTAGGCTTCACCACCACTCAATATCGTAACATGCAGAGTGCGTCATTACCACTCTGGCCATTATTTTTTTGCCTACTTGCCATTTTCCCACTGTACCGACGCCTCATGCCTGATATCCTCAGGCCGAATCACTTGTGAAAGTAACGCAAAGAGGGGTATCGTGCAAACGCCGCCCAAAGCCCTTCCCAGACGGCATTCAAGCCTCTGTAGGGGGACATGCGGGGTATGTAAAAGATGAATTAAGGAAACAGAAGTGCTTGCTTGATTGCAAAAGGAATGGGGGAGAAAACCAGCGACTAGTGCGAGTGCTGGTGAAGGGGATTACGGGAAATTGAAGCGGCCTGTGCAGGCTCCTGTGCTTCTGTCAACTAAAGTGACACATTGCCCAATGGCAAGATCTTGGATGGATCGCCGTTGAAGCTCTTGTGGTACTCGACGATGCCCCGAGCGATGCTGGGGAAGTCTCTGATGTTCTTGGCTCTCATGTCTTGCAGGACCTTGCGCAATCCGTCGTTGAACTGGTTCCTTTCGTCTCCGTCAAGTTTGGTGCCGCCAAGCTGGAGGAGAATCTGGTCGTCTAAAACGTTGGGGGCGACCGTCAGCGTTCAACATGCTTCGAGACATGTGACGAGGTCAGTTATCCTTGCGGGGCGATGGCGACCTACCCGGCAACTTCATGGTCTCGAAGTGCTGGTAAATGCAGTCAGCACCTCGTGGGCATTCCCGGCTGGCCAGCTGGTCTGGGCAGACGGGTTGGTCCGGATCGATCCTGTTGCTATACGTGAGAGACCGAAGTCCACCAGCGACTGTCTCAGCAAAGTTGGGGTGGTATCGATAAGCACGGAAGTATTGTAGTGGGCTCTCGTAAGGGGTGAAGACATCTTCGGAGGGCATCTCATCAGCGCTCTGTGTTGGTTGAGGGGCCTGTGATATTGATTAGAAACCACCGAGTGTTGATGGCGCGAAACGAAATGTACTTCTCTCGTAGCTTCAACTCCCTGCTCCGGAGTTAATTCGTTGACACCTAACGAAATCTGTTCAGGGATTTGTGAGGCTCGTGAACTTGGCTCCTGTGGGTCAGCATCACTATTAGCCAGCGAGACGGTGCTGCCTGCTGGCACTGGGCTGGTTGATGGAGATCTGGCGTCATTTGGAGGGGCAACTGCCTCGGATGGCTCATAGGCGTCCGACGAGCACTCTTGGTCTCCATCTTGAATATGCTCTTCATGTTGGGAACTCGAATCTGACGATTCGCCCATGACGACATCAGAAGGACCATCACTTGAACTTGAGACCGGCCGCAACTCCTGAACTGCATTGGTGCTTGTCACCGGATTGACGGGTGCCTCAATGGGCGCGGGCACTGCCTGGACTGTGGCATCAGGGACATCAGGGGGATTCGTCGCAGCTTTACCAGTAGCAGCAACATCGGCTTGTGCCGCGATGGAAGAATCTTCAATGCTTTGCGCAACAGGGGGCTGGGGCTTGGGGGCTTCTATGCTGGAAAGGGCCGAAGTGACCGGGCTCGAAGCCAATACTGCGGTGTCAGTGGCAGGGACATCAGCCTGCACATCGGACTGAGGCCCGAC